AGAACATCTACGCTCTGCTCACAAAAAACACCCTGAACTACCCGTTGCCTGCCACTTTAATGCACCACCCTGTTCCCTGGCCAACATCTCTGTCTCTGGCTTGCTGCAGTGTTCCAGCGAAGCTCAACGCAAGCTGGTCAAACAACACCTCATTTTCCGCTTGGGGACCCTACAACCCTCCGGACTCAATATTGAGTTCAATAATTTTAGGGTCTAAAGTCTCTCAAGTCACAGTCCCCTACCCCACACACCAGGCCTTGTTACCACATAGCCTGCCATTACACACCACCTGTTGTTAGTCACTAATCGTCCCCATTAACAACTATTCACCCTCCGAGTCTGATTATTATCAACTCTTTGTCTGTGCGACCGCTCTTCTCTCTTTTTAGGCTCTACCCTATGGTTTACTGTCTACCCCATCCCCCTCCCTGTTTTCTGCATATAAACTGATATTTTCCCAGCCACTCTACATCGGGGAAACCAAGCGGAGGCTCGGGGGCCACTCTGCAGAACACCTACGCTCGGTTCGCAATAAACAACTGCACCTCCCAGTCGCAAACCATTTCAACTCCCCCTCCCATTCCTCAGACGACATGTCCATCCTGGGCCTCCTGCAGTGCCACCCGAAGGTTGCAGTAACAGCAATTCATATTCCGCTTGGGAACACTGCAGCCCAATGGTATCAATGTGGATTTCACAAGCTTCAAAATCTCCCCTCCCCCTACAGCATCCCAAAACCAGTCCAGCTTCTCCCCGCCTCCCTAACCTGTTCTTCCTCCCACCTATCCCCTCCTCCCACCTCAAGCCCCACCCCCATCTCCTACCTACTAACCTCATCCCGCCCCCTTGACCTGTCCATCTTCCCTGGACTGACCTATCCCCTCCCTAACTCCCCACCTACACTCACCTTTACTGGCTCCATCCCCGCCTCTTCGACCTGTCTGTTTCCTCTCCACCTATCCTCTCCTCTATCCATCTTCTATCCGCCTCCCCCTCTCTCCCTATTTATTTCAGAACCCCCTTCCCCTCCCCAATTTCTGATGAAGGGTCTAGGCCCGAAACGTCAGCCTTTCTGCTCCTCTGATGCTGCTTGGCCTGCTGTGTTCATCCAGCTCTGCAGCTTGTTGTCTCGGATTTTCCCAGCCACCATCAGTTCTGAGGAAGGGTCACCGGACCCAAAACGTTAACTCTGATTTTCTTCACAGATGCTGCCAGACCTCCTGAGCTTTTCCAGCAACTTTGTTTTTGTTCCTGATTTACAGCATCTGCAATTCTTTCAGTTTTTATTTAGCAAGGAAATTGATAGGATTGAAAGGCGATAAATCTCCAGGGTCCAATAATTTACATCCCAGAGTACTTGAGGAAGTAGTCCTAAAAATAGTGGACGCATTGATAGTTTTCTTCCAGACCCTATACACTCTGGAGCAGTTCCTACAGATTGAATTTTAGCTAATGTAACCTCTCTATTTAAAAAAGGAAGGTAGAGAGAATATCAGGAATCATAGACCAGTCAGCTTGATGTCAGGAATGGGCAAAATGCTCGAGTCTATTATAGATTTGAAATGCGATCACTTGGACTTTAGTGGCAGGATCAGACACAGTCAGCATGAATTTATGAAAGGGAAATCATGCTAGTCAAATCTACTGGAATTCTTCAAGGTTCTAGTGAGAAGAGTTGATGAGGAGGAGCCAGTGAATACGGTTTATTTGGACTTTCAGGAGGCTTTCGATAAGGTCCCACATAAGAAGTTAACACCTAAAATTAATGCACACGGGATTGGGGTAGTGCATTGAGATAGTTAGAAAAATGGTTGGCAGGCAGGAAACAAAGAGCAGGAATAAACAGGTCTTTTTCTGAATGGCAGGAAGTGACTAGGGGGGTACAGTGGGGCTCAGTGCTTGGACCCCAACTATTCACAATATATATTAATGATATAGTTGATGCAGGTAAATGTAAACTCTCCAAATTTGCAGATGATACAAAGCTGGGTGTGAGGGTGAGTTATGAAGAGTATGTAGAGATAGATTTGAACAAGTTGAATAAGAGGACAAATGCAAGTAATTCCTGCCCCTAAGTATCTTCTCCAATAATTTCCCTTTTACTGATGTAAGGCTCACTGGCCTGTAATTTGGATTATCCCTATTGCCCTTCTTAAACAAAGGAACACTGACTATTCTCCAGTCTTCTGGGACCTCGCCTGTGGCTAAACAGGACACAAAGATTTCAGTCAAGGCTCCAGTAATCTCCTCCCTTGTCTCCATCAGTATCCATGGTAGATCCTGTCAGGCCCTGGGGTCTTATCTATCTTAATGTTTTTCAAAACATTCAACACCTTTTCCTTCTTAATATTGTCATGCCCTAGAATAGGAACATAACCCTGCTTAATCTTACTGCCCCCAATCTAATTTCTCCAGTTCCTGCCTAATGCTTTTGTAATTTACCTTCCACCAATTTAGCATTTTCACCCAAGGACCAGTCTTATCCTTATCCATAACTATTATAAAACTAATGGAATTATGATCACCGTTCCCAAAATGCTTCCCCAATGAAACTTAAATCATCTGGCCAGGGTCATCCCCCAATACAAGGACAATTACGGCCCTTCCATAGTTGGACTTTCTAAATATTATTTCAAGAAACCCTCCTGGACGCACCTCACAAATTCTGCCCCATTGAAGTCCCTGACACTAAGGGTGTCCCAGTGGATATTGGGGAAGTTAAAATCAGCCACTGCAACACCATGTTGTTTTTACATCTTTCCATGACATGCCTACATATCTGCTTCTGTATCACCTTCTGGCTATTGGGATGCCTGTAGTACAACCCCATCATAGTGACTGCACCTTCCTTATGCCTAAGCTGTATTCATATGTCCTCTCTGGATGAGCCTTCCAAGATGTTGTCTTTTAATGCAATCGTGGAATCTCCTTAATCAGTAATGCAACACTCTGCACCCCTTTAACAGCCCTCTCTATCATGCCTGAAACATCTAAACCCTGGAATACTGAGCTGCCGTTTCCTGCCCTTTTCTCAGTTGATAAAACGTGGAGCTGGGGGAGCACAGCAGGTCAGGCAGCGTTTCAGGAGGAGGAAAATCGACATTTCGGGTCTGGACTCTTCATCAGCTCTGTGGGGGTGGAAGGGAGCTCAGAAATAAATAGATGGAGGGGAGGGGGCTGGGGGAAGATTGGTGGTGATACATGGATGCAGGTAGGGGGTGATAGAGATTGGTCAGTGGGAAGGGTGGAGCAGATAGGTGAGAATGAAGATGGACAGGTTGTGTCAGGCCAAGGAGATGGGGATGAGAGTTGGGCTGGACATAGGATGAGGCTGGGGATGGGGAGATTTTGAAGCTGGTGAACTCTACGTTGAGGCCATTGGGCTGTAAGCTCCTGAGGCAGAATATAGGGTGTTGTTCCTCCAGATTACGTGTGGCCTCATTTTGACAGTTGAGGAGGCCCAGGGTGGACATACTGTCATGGGAGTGGGAGGGGGAGCTGAAATGGCTGGCAACTGATTTTGATTGGTGCGTACAGAGTGCAGATGCTCTGTGAATTGGTCATCGAGTCTGTGCTTGGTCTCGCTGATATCGAGGAGACCATATCTGGAGCAACGGATGCAATAGACCACGTTAGAGGATATACAGGTGAATCCCTGTCAGATACGGAATGATTGTTTGGGGCCTTGGATGGTGATGAGAGTAGAGGTGTAGGGGCAGGTGTAGTACTTCCTGTGGTTACAGGGAAAGGTGCCAGGGGTAGTGGTAAGGTTGCTGGGGAGTTTGGAGCTGACGAGGGAGTCGTGGAGTGAGGGATCCCTACAGAAAGCAGATAGGGGTGGGAAGAAAGTATTCTGGTGGGTGAGGTCTGATTGCAGGTGGCAAAAATGGCAGAGGATGATGCGTTGGATTTGGAGGTTGGTGGGGTGGTATGTAAGGATCAGGGGGACTCTATCCTTATTGTTGTTGGAGGGAGGGGGTTTGAGGGCAGAAGTGTGGGAAATGCAGGAGATGCGTTAGTGGGTGAGAGGAGGTGTAGTTAAGTTTCTGTTGGAGTCAGTGGGTCCCACAACTACCTTGATTACACAGACCCACTGACTCCTACAGCTACCTTGACTATACCTCCTCTCACCTACCCTCTTGCAAAAATGTGATCCCACGCTCCCAATTCCTCCGCCTCTGCCGCATCTACTCCCAGGATGAAGCGTTCCAGTCCCAGACATGCCAGATGTCCTCCTACTTCAAGGACCCTAATTTGCCCTCTCCCATGCTTCATAATTCCCTCAACTGCATCTCACATTTTATCAACTCTGACTTCCATCATTTGCAGTTCTATCTGCCCTTCTCTCAATCAATTTTCTGTAATGGCTACAACAATGCTGACCTTCATAGTGAAAGGATTCGAGTCTAGGAGCAGGAATGACTTGCTGTAATCATACATCATATTCCAGACTAAACCAGGAATATTATGGATATTTTATCTCCTTATCAGAAGGAGGATGTTCTTGCTATACAGGGAGTGCAATGAAGGTTCATCAGATTAATTCCTGGGATGGCGGAACTGACATATGAGTTAAGATTATATTCATAAGAGTTCAGAAGAATGAGAGGGGACCTCATAGAAGACTGTAACATTCTAACAGGATTAGACAGGTTAAATGCAGGAAGGATGTTTCTGATGACGAGTGCAGAAGCAGGGGTCATAGTCTGAGGACATGAGTTAAACCAATGGGAAAAAGCGGGAACAGGCCATTGAGTTGGATGATCAAGATCACAATGAAAAAGTGAAGCAGTACTCGAATGGCTGAATGACCTACTCCTACTCCTATTTTTTATGTTTCTAAGTCTCTAAATTGGCAAATGAATGATCTTTTCTGGAAATTGCATTGGGTCTGGCTCATTTCCTCCGGTGCTGTCATTGCAGATTATCAAGTCTAAGAACTGCAAAGAACTATGAAAGAGGACAGTGTTAGTACTGGAATATTCTCCCATCATACTCACAGAGCACGACCTGGAGATCCGAGAGGACTAAATGCTGTCAATGCAATATCTTTGGATGCACAGAACTCCACCAGTTCAGGCTGAGTCAGATATGGATGAAGCTCCACCTGTAAACAAGAACGACAGAGAGAACGAAGTCAGATGATGATCAGTGAGAAACTTGACATTGCACATTGAGATGCTAATCTCTCTGCCCTTTCCCAATTTCTTTTCTGAAGAAGAGTCCAGACCCGAAACGTCAGCTTTCCTGCTCCTCTGATGCTGTCTGGCCTGCTGTGTTCATCCAACTCTACACCCTGTTATATCAGGTTACATTAGACTTGCTATTAAGTAACGTGACAAGATTAATAAATAACCACAGACCAAAGATATCCCAAGGTAGTAGTGACTACAATCAGTTCAAAAGGGAGAGAACAGTGGGTCTGAAATTTAGTCTTTTAAACTTAAACAAGGGTAACTATGTGGGATGAAAGCTGAGATAGCTGGTGTGAACTGGGATTATTAGGCAAAGGGACAGATCAATAGAAAAATGGTGACATTTAAGGTGATATTTCAGAACACTCAGAATAAGTATATTCATACAATAAAGATTTCCAAGGGGAGGACCATCATCTGTAGTTAACTAAAGAAGTTATGGAAAACTTTTAACTTAAGGAAAAAGCATGTGATGATGCGAAGATGAAAAACAGAAGATGACTAAAAGGATAATCAGAAGAAAGAAATTATTACAAGAGGAAACTAGCTGGAAATGTAAAAATGGATAGCAAGAGTTTCTGAAGGTTTTTAAAAAGTGAAAGAGTTAAGTGATAACAAGGTGTAGAGCTGGATGAACACAGCAGGCCAGGCAGCATCAGAGGAGCAGGAAAGCTGACGTGTCGGGTCCGGACCCTTCTTCAGAAATGGGGGAGGGGAAGGGGGCTCTGAAATAAATAGAGATAGGGGGTGGCGATGATAGAAGGTGGATAGAGGGGCAGATAGGTGGAGAGAAGATGGACAGGTCAAGGAGGCGGGGATGAAGAATAAAGTGAGTGTTGGTTTTCTGGAGAATGAGAAAGGAGAGCTAATAGTAGATAATGATGAAATGGCAGCTGAAATGGACGAATCTTTTGCTCTTTCCGGCTCCCTGTGGCCACCCGGCTTTTGTAGCTCAGTGGTAGCATCCCTACCCCTGGAGCAAGAAATCCAGGTTTAAGTCCCACCTGCTCTAGAGGTGTGTAAGAACATCACTGAACAGACTGATTAGCAAAAATATGTTAAATAAAAACAATTAAAACATTTAAATGAGGGTAACAAACACATGGCAGCTAAATAAACAGATGACACAAAAATAGGTAGGAAAGTATGTTGTGAAGAGGACATGATGAAGATGCAGAGAGCTGTAGATAAGTTGAGTGAGCGGCCAAAAATCTCGAAGGTAGAATATAATGTAGCAAAATATGAACTGTTTAATTTGGCAGAACTAATAAACAGCGGAGTATTATTTAAATGGACTACAAAATTCTGAGGTGGATGAATCTGGGTATTCTTGTGCATTAGCCACAAAATGTTTGCATGCAGGTACAGCAAGTAATTAAGGCAGCTAATGGAATGCTATTCTTTATTGAGGCAAGAATTGAATGTAAAAGTAAGGATTGAGAAACAGAGCTAATGTTTTGAGTCCGATATATCTCTCGGTTGGAACATCAGATTCAAAACATTAACCCGGTCTCTTGACAGATACTGTCAGACACTGTTTCTCCAGCATGCTCTGTTGCTGTTTCAGATTTCAAGCATCAGCTTTATTTTGCTTTTATAAAAGTAAGGATGTTATGTGTCAATTATACAGGGCATAGGTGAAAGCACATTTTGAATACTGTTATTTTGATTTTGATTTTATTGTCACATGTACCAAAATAAAGTGAATAGCTTTGTTTACGAGCAGTACAGGCTCATTTACAGATTACAGCAAGCAAAGGATGTACAGATCAAAAAGACTTAGAGGCATACAGGTTACATTGCAGGTTACACTACTTCAGGCTAGAATCCATTCAACAGTCTGATAACAGCCAGAAAGAGGCTGTTCCTGAACCTGCCCATGCACGTGTTCAAGCTTCTGCATTTTCTGCCTGAGGGAAGAGGTTGTAGGAGATCATTACCAGGGTGTGATGGGTCTTTGATGATGTTGGCTGCCTTTCCGTGACAGCGGTAAGAGGAAAGGCCGGACAGACTGGGGTTGTTTTCTCTAGAATTTCGTGAAAGGTGACTTGTTTGAACTATGCCAAATCATGAACAGTCTTAACAAGGTGAATATTGGAAGAATGTTTCCCTTGTGAATGAGTCCAGAACTAATGAGCACTGTTTAATTAAAACAAAAACTAAAGAACAGTATAGCATAGGAGCAGGCTCTTCAGCCCACTAAGACTCCGCCAACAGATGATGCCTTTTGCCTCTATGCTGCCCATATCCCTCTATTCCCTGTTTGTATCTGTCAAGTTATTGAAAGTTGTTACTGTATCTGCCTCCACAACCTCCTCTGACAGCACATTATAGGCACTTACCATGCTCTGTGTAAAAAAAAACTTGTCTCTCATATCTACTTAAAATTACTCCATTTTACATTAAACATACAAATTTAGTACTTGACAATCCTACCCTGGGAGAAAGACTCCAACTATCCATGCCTTTCATAAGTTTCTAACTTTCTATCAGGTCATCCCTCATTCTTTGACATTCAAGTGAAAAGCAAATGAAGTTTGCCCAATCTCTCTTCATAGCTCATACCCTCCAAACCAGGCAACATTCTGGTAAACAGGTTCTGTACCCTCTCCAAAGTCTCCACATCCTTCTGGTAGTGTGGTGACCAGAACTGTAGATAATATTCGAAATGTGGCCTATCTAACGTTCTATACAGCTGCAATATGATTTGCTAATTTTTATACTCCATGCCCTGGCTGATGAAGGCAATCATGCCATATGACTTCTTGACCACCTTACCCACTTGTGTTGCCGCTTTCTGGGGCCTGCAGACCTGTATGCCTAGATCCCCCTGTATGTTGATGCTTCTAAGGGTCCTGCCATTTACGATATACTTCCCTCCTGCATTAGATCTCCCAAAATGCGTCATTTCGCATTTGTTTGAATTAAATTTCATCTGTCATTTCTCCGCTCAAGTCTCCAGCCTATCCACAATCTTGCTGTATCCTCTGGCAATCGTCCTCATTATCTGCAGCTCCGTCAATCTTCGTACTATCTGCAAAGTTACTAATCAGATCACCTACATTCTCCTCCAAATCATTTATACGTATATTACAAACAATAGGAGTCCCAACAGTGTGTGGAGCTGACGAAGGTGTTGCGGAGTGAATGGTCTCTGTGGCGAGCAGACAGGGGTGGGGTGGGAAATATCTTTTTGGTGGTGGCGTCTGATTGCAGGTGACTCGTCACAGATTTCCAATCAGAAAAACCACCCCTCCACCGCAGAAACAGGAGGTCTGCTTTGACATTGGCCAGGGTCAGAAATCACACAACACCAGGTTATAGTCCGAGACAACAAGGTGCAGGGCTGGATGAACACAGCAGGCCAAGGAAATAGTCCAAGGTTATAGTCGAATCAGAGATAGTAGGAACTGCAGATGCTGGAGAATCCGAGACAACAAGGTGCAGGGCTGGATGAACACAGCAGGCCAAGCAGCATCATAGGAGCAGGTTATAGTCCAACAGGTTTATTTGAAAACACAAGCTTTCGGAGTGTAGCCCCTTCGTCAGGTGAAATGTGGAGTGACATCGTGTAGTGGCTTTCACACTATGCACATTTATGCTGGCAATTTTCAAACACGTTAAGTTTTTTCTTAAGATCACTAAACCGTCCAATAAGGATTTAAAACTGATCCTGTCACTGGGACAGTTCTTGCATTCCTGTGGTGTGGGTGAACTGCTGCAAAAATTTCTTTTTGTCAAAATATACATTATTCATAAAAAGAACCTTTGTGCACGTCTTTGTGCATCAAGAAAAACAAACATTGGAAATTGGCATTTCCAGCAGTTGCAAAAACCAAAGACATTTCTTACTCATGCAGAACACTGTCTACATACATTGAGATAACGAGAGTATGATTGGCAAGAGAGTGCAAACACTGGGAATTGAGCTAAGTGTGGGAATTTAAGAATATAATCTTAATCTTTTGTATTCTTAAAATCTAAAACTGTGGTTAAGGGAAGGATAGATATTTAAGTGTTGAATTTCTTTTCCTTTCAGGTCTAAGTAAAATTTAAACAAGCTCTCCTGGTGCTGTAGTTACTTAATCTAATTAAGTAAACTGGTTAGATCTAGTTCTTATGGTATAAGGCCCATTCTGCTACAAGAGCTAGGCCTAAAGTGCTCCAAGCACAGAATGTGACCATGATGTGAACTTGCTGGTGTTGGACTGGGGTGGACAAGGTCAGAAATCACACAACACCAGCAAGACAGTGCAAATGCTGGGAATTGAGTTAAGTGTGGGAGTTTAGGCAAGTGGGGGAGGGTCGCATTGCTGGTTAGATTCAACAGTGGGTCTAGGTGAATACCAGGCTTTGTTGTGCAGCATGAGCAGCAACAAGGGTAAGGGGAAGGGGAAGGTAAGGCCTTTTCTTTTCCCTAAATCTGCTAGTTGCTAAAGGGCCAGAGATGACAGTCAGTACAGTGGTATGCTCCTCCTGCCTGATGTGGGATATCAGGGAGCACTCAAGTGGCCTTAGCAACTATGTCTGCAGATGGCATGGATTGGTTGGAGTGGCAATTTAGAATGAATAGAATAGAATCCCTACAGTGTGGAAACAGGCCGTTCAGCCCAACAAGTCCACACTGACCCTCTGAAGAGCATGCCACCCAGACTCATTCCCCTACCCCATTCATGTAACTCTGTATTTCCCGTGGCTCATGCACCTAACCTATACCATCCCTGAACACAATGGGTAATTTAGCAAGGCCCGTCCACCTAACCTGTACATCTTTGGACTGTGGGAAGAAACTGAAGCACTGGCAGAACCCATGCAGACACAGGGAGAACGTGCAAACTGAGGGTGGAATCGAACTTATGTCCTTGGTGTTGTGAGGCAACGGTGCTAACTGGTGAGCCATCGCACCACCCAA